TTTTTTTTTAAACAAAAACACTATCTAAAGAACATTCATAAAGCTTGACTTATTTCAAACATATTTTTCTTTTTCCACTAACAGATTTGTGCAGGAAAGAAGCATGTTCTGTTCACTGGAATATCCTGTGGCATGTCGGTATGAATGATACTATTGTCTTTTTTTCAAATCGCATTATTCAATCAATAGTAAAGGACAAAAGTCGTGACAATAGAAATTTTAAATAAACTCTTCTCATTTGTAGATTCATTTAGTGAATTTTAACTAAACATCCAATAGTTCTGGGTTAAGTCTGTATTTAGGGTGACCAGACGTCCCAGTTTTCCAAGAACAGTCCTGGTTTTTCACATTCAAAACTTCACATTTTACATTCAAAATTTCAAATTTCACATACAAAAAAAATAATAATTGGACCAACAAAGCCTCCAAAAGCAAAAACATATATAAAATAACATTAAAAAAGAAAATTAACAATTTGAATTAATGCAGGATAGTCAGTTTGTGAAAATGAAAATATTAAATACAATTAGAAAATGTTACAAATATTTGTTCAATAAAAAAAAAAAAATGGAAATACATATGTTAACATTTTATTTCTAAGTTCTCATTTTTAACTTTAGTTTTGTTATAAATAATTTTGTTATAATATAATACTTATTTGATATATGTTTCCTATTTGCAATGGCTACTGTTTACTATTTTTCATAATGTGATATTCGATTAATTGTATTAAAACCAGTTAGGGCCAGTTTATACCTACAAACACAATAATACAAATAATTAAAAAAAAATGTTACTTCATAAATAATAACAAATGTGATTTTAATGATATTTTGACCACTGAAAATAGCCTCAAAAGCTGTTACTAGGGTGGTACCCTTTCAAAAGGTACTAATATGTACATTTAAGGTACAAATATGAAGGTACATTGATGGTACAAAAAGGCACCAAAAGGTACAAAAGTGTACCCTTTTGAAAGGGTACACTCTAAAAAATGCTGGGTTAAATATAACCAGCGCTGGGTTAAAAAGGGACAAACCCAGCGGTTGGGTTCAAAACAACCCAACCGCTGGGTCAAAACAACCCAATAGCTGGGTTTGTCCCTTTCTAACCCAGCAATTTTTAGAGTGTACTACCCCAGTGACAGCTTTTTTAACTTTTTGAGTGTATGGTAGGAAATGTCTGCAGTTTTTATTACGTACAGTATGTAGGTAACATTAACGTGAGCCTTTATCAAAGCCGTCTGTAAATGCGCTTCATGATGTTGTTCTGTGTCAAAGGCACCGTTTGTTGCTGGGCAACTGGATTTTTGTCTGAAGCACTTAGACGTCTTTACTCCAGTGCTCCTGGGATTCAATCCTGTACATATGGCGAGGTAGACCTACT